AAAATTTTAACAATATATAATGTTAATGCTAAGACTAATAATTAATATTAAAACAAACGGTAATAAAAACAACAATAATAATAACAACAACGACAACAAGAACAGCAATAATAATAACAATTAGTACAATGTAGTACCAGTAAATGACTTGTGGCCGAGTTGACTTGTGGCCGAGATGACTTGTGGCCGAGTTGACTGTAGCCAAACTTTTTGTGGCCGAGTTGACTTGTGGCCGAGTTAACTTGTGGCCGAGTTGACTTGTGGCCGAGTTGGATCGAATTCATTTCAAATAGATGTCTGCAAACCCGACGTGAATATTGACTATTGTGCTCTCTCTAGGCTAGGCCTAAACCTGAATGTGCTGAACTCGGCGAGAAAGCATGAGCTTGGCTGTATCATATCGATAATAATACTGTATTTATTAACTGGCGTGAAGTTGGTTACTTTCCATGCAGCACACTTCTGTTGTGAAGGTGCGTTTAAATATTACCTCCATGGTTGTGTAAAGTTATAAAAATACCTTTCTAGAATACTTGTCTATAGTTTTAATGGTAATGGGTCATCACGACAGTTAAACCATGATTAGGCTCAGGCCACTTAATAACACAGGGGTGTAAGCAAGGACACTAAACTACTTTGATGTGACCTCCATTTAGTACAGGGACATTCTGAAGGCTATGAGAATGTTCCCATCACAAGATCGACTAAAGTAGGCAATTAATCACTTTATGCACATTCTCGAGATTTTAGCATAGACTAGATATAGTGGATGATGATTAGTGAACAGTCAATTTTCGGATAGAGCTAGCAGGAGAATAACAACGAGATTAGACTAGGAGTTAAACGCCGGACTACATCCCTTTTATATATACAGTACAGTCTGACATCAGTGAAACTTAATGTTTATCTTAAGTTATCTCATGTAGTAGTTTGAATAAAAAGGAAACCGAGCGCTACTCAATTAAAGAACCTGTTTCAGTGTAATTTTGTATACTTTGAAGTGACGCTGATCATACAACACACGACAACCAAATAATCAGCGTTACAGTTGGACGAATTGTGATAGGGGCCTAGCAATCCTCGCGGTGCACAAGCTGAGCTGACCTGCACCTGAATCCTCCTTATCATTAGCTGGGCCAAGGGAAAGCATAATTAGCATATTTAATTTATGCGACGGTAATTAGCCAATCGGAAATCAAAGTTGTTAAATACGTCAGACACCACGAAAGCGTGGTGCCTGCACTCGAAATCCTCACTGTTTTCCCAGTCCCTAATCCCAGAAAAAGTATACTATGGAACGCCATGCAAATAAGTAATATGGAACGCCATTTGTGCCAAAATCGATTTATTCTTAAGCATTTCAACTGATTAAGACAAAGATTAGTGACTGGAACCCAGTCTATGATGACACATGCTGGTCTTCGACTTACGTCCGGCAGATTTTGTAACGTAGGATAGTTTAGCAATACATTCCACGCGATTTGCTTCATCTTTACATTTTAATGTTCCACGTCATTCTAAGAGAATCGGAAGTTTTTCTTTTTCTTGTCACGCTGCCAGACTGTGAAATAATTGCTCAACTAAACTTCGGGAAATTTATCCTCCCATTATCTTCAAACGTGCACTCAAAAGACTCAATCTTTTTTTTCTTTTTTTTTTAACTTTAAAATAAAAAATCATATTTTCAACAAAACATAATACATCAAATCCACATTACATAACAAGACGAAAAAAAAACCCGCAAATGTCACTTCACCCAGCAGGACACATAGTAACAGAGTATCAAAAGACTCAACCTTTGCCTAGTACCTCCAATTATTATTTTCCGAGAGTTGTGTCTGTTCTGTTGTAGGCCTACGTGTTGTGTTTTGCTTTTGTTAGACATTTGTGCCCGAGATTTCTGTTTAATGTTGTATTACATGCTGTCTTGAGTTATTCCCTGAACTATGAGATTTGGCGTGCGCTTTATAACCGCAAGGAAAAAGCGCAATATAAATTCTCACACCAGTACCAGTACCATCAAAATCCCATGAATTATTCATAATTTTCCTAATAGAACATATTTTGAGCATGCGATTTTCAATTCTGAGCCAGATGATGATCAGCTGCTCTGTACATTACATCGCAATGGAACCTAGTTTTCAGCCCTTGTAGATTAGAAGACAAGCATATTTACCGCTAAACTATTCAATTCCACTCTATAAACAATCAGAATTCGCTGACTATATTATGCTAAACATTATTTTAAAGAATAGACTTCCTTATGTTGAGGTCATATTAGACTGTAATTATTATTAAAGGAGACATTCAACTAACAGCATTCAACTAACAACATGCAACTATAAAAGGTAAATATACCCACGTCGGTAATTTCCTAAAAGAGTGGCCTTCATTATGCTTTAAGCCTAAGGAAATAGTAAATCCGTATGCCGGATCTGAAGCTACGTTTAGAAGTTACAATGGACTTCCTTAAATTGTGGTCATAGTTAGAATGTAATATCTTTAAAGACCATTCAAAAAACAATTTTTAATAGGGATATCTTTATAAATAGAGATAGGCCTATATATAGATATGAAGTAAAAATAATGGTATGGTAATAGCGAGGCGGGCCAACTTGGAGACTCATAACTATGGCGAGCTGAGTTGTCATTTAATCGTAAATAGAGATATCTTAGTTTTAAATAGAGAGTTTTAAATAGAGATATCTTAGATTTAAATAGAGATATCTCTGTTAAATATATCTATTAATAGAGATATCTATTTAAAACTAGGATATCTCTATTTAAAACTAAGATATTTCTATTTAAAACTGAGATATCTCTAATTAAAACTAAATATCTATTAATAGAGATATCTCTTTTAATAGAGATATCTTTATAAATAGAGATATCTCTATTAATAGAGATATCTTAGTTTTAAATAGAGATATCTTAGATTTAAATAGCGTTACCTTTATTTTAAATAGACCTATCCTAGTTTTAAATAGATATCTCTATTAATAGAGATATCTCTATTAACAGATATTATTTTAAATCTAAGATATCTCTATTTTATAATAGTCTGAGATATCTCTATTTAAAACCGAGACATCTCTATTAACAGTGGGGATATCTTGGTTTTAAATAGAGATATCTTAGTTTTAAATATCTTAGTTTCAAATAGAGATATCTCTATTAACAGAGATATCTCTATTTAAAATTAAGATATCTATGTAAAACTAAGATATCCCTATTTCAAACTCGGATATCTTTATTTAGAACTAAGATATCTTTATATAGAACTAAGATATCTCTATTAATAGAGATATCTTAGTTTTAAATAGATATCTTAGTTTTAAATAGAGATACTGTATCAGCATGTTCCCATACTTCCGAGTACCTATTGCATTAAGCTGAAATAAACATCAGCAATAAATAGCATGTTTTAGAAAACGATCAATTAAAAATAAAGATACACCTCGGCCCAAGCCATGAAATAAGCTCGGCCTAATCATACTGGACTAGCCAGCCCTACAGGCCTAGCCTATAATGAGAGATAGACCTAGGTTCAGGTTTAGTTTAGTTAGCGAGGGCTTAATACCCACTCTCTCTCTCTCTCTCCCCTCTACCCCACTCTCTATCTCTCTCTCTCTCTCGAATCCGGGTGGGATCATTCTTCTGCAATGCCATTTTGCATTAAGTTTAAATTAGGGTCATGTCAACTCCACCAATGAATATTTCGAATTTACGTTGATGCATGCATCCACCCATTTTATTGAAGATAACATTTCTCTCATGCCAATCTAGGCTAGGCCTACTGTATATATGCTGTATTTTAACGTAAATAGGATAGTCCTACTCCAATGTAGGCCGCATATCAATACAACAGGCCCAAATCCAGTAGTGGAGAGGGAGCG